TCCCTTGCCAGGTATAATTTCATTAACGTCGCTAACGTGTCTCTAATCGATGCTCGTACCCGATGTGCTTTCTAATTAAAATTACGCGGAACGTGGTTTTTTTCGTCGGGCCGGAAAACACTCGAGGGACAACACGTGCCATTAAACGAGTTCCTTTTTCTTTTTCTTTTTTTTTCCAACCGACTCGTTGAACGTGACAAGCGATACGCTACGGATTAATTGGGGGAAAATTTATGTTTCAGCCCCGCTCCCAATCAGGGATCACCGTCGATCCGTGTAATCGAGGAACGGTCCCTCGACGCGAAACACTCGCGCACTTTGTGCCTGTTTTTGATACGCGAGAACGTCTGGAGGATACGAGAAAGCATCTCGTACGAGCTCGATAGAATCACACGCGACGGTGTGATACACGCGGAGGATTTCAGGCCGAGAGAATAAAGAGCAGCCGTTGAACAAGAACGTCTTGGTACCTTTGTTTCAATCCTCCTCGAGGGGAACAAGGCTATTAGGAAAATAAAATTCAGACTCACGTGGAATTCGCGTTTGAAATTCACCAAAACTCGAATCGTTTCTCCTCTCTTTCCTAATTGCACTGTTGGACGCGGCATATAATATTGAAAAATTTGACACCTTTTCTTAATAGCTTCGTTCAAGGTAAAATTACTACCTTATTGTAATAGCACTTTGCTACAAAAGCCCTGTTCGTAACCGTATGTAGCCATCGTACGCGTTTGAAAAAGTCGAACAACGAACGACGAAATCGTGGAAAAAAAAGAAGAGAAGTGGTCTCTCTCTCTCTCTCTCTCTCTCTCTCTCTCTTTCTGTGTACGGACGGCGAGCAAACACCGAGAGACGGAAGCGAAAACGTTGGCTGGACGTTGTGTAATTGTTCGAACGTGAAAAACGAGCTGTAGTCCGCGAAGACAAGTATTTCGGCTGCGGTAATCTTTTCTATGGCCGGAGATTGTGCGTCGAGAATTGACCAAGAACAATAAGACGGGAACAAAGGTCGGATGGACAGGCAGGAAGGGACGCGAGGAGGGCAGATTGCCCCCTCGAAGGGGTGAGAGACGCGCGCGAGTATCCCGCGTGTTTCGTACCTGAGGAAAAGGGGCACAAAGGTTTCGCTTTTATCAACGACGCACTACACCCGTGAGTCCAGGCCCTTCTTTTACTTTCATCCGCTTCGCGCCCTCCTTTTTCACTCCATTCATCGCCAACGCTAGACCTTCTTCTTCTTTCCATCCTTCGTTCAACGCCTTGTGTTTTTCGTGACCGACCTCCAAACTCCGCTGAATAATGCACGTCCTCCGTTCGCTCGTGTTTTAATAACCCCTATCTTTTTTTCTTTTTTTTTTCTTTTTTTTTTTTTTTATCGAAAATATGTCGCTTCATCGATGCGCTTCATCCAGATATTTTAACTCATAACTGGTATTACTAAGCATTATTGAGAGCCAGGACGTGGTTTCATTGGGCATTAATGGTCGAATTTTTAATTCGATTTCACTTTACATTTCGTACTTCAATTCGCGAAATTAATAAAAAATAACAAATCTAGGCAGAGGTTTGTTCCAATTGAATTTTAGGGGTTTTACATATTTCTAGCGTTCGATGAATGTGTGTTTGCAAGTTGAAATTTAATCCCATAAATACATTAAAAAAAAACCGCAGTCTATCAATCTTCGTCGGAGAGAGTACGAAATGTAAATTGTTAATTAAAACGACAATGCCGTTTGATGATTCAAATCATTACACGTCAAATTCGTGTGACGTGAAATTGAGTTCCCTTTTTTTTTTTTGTCGCTGCAAAATTTCAAATAAAATTGTACCGATATACGTAAACGTATAGCGAAGCCAAGTTTATTCGTTTATCTATACAGAGATTCCTACCCGAATCGTACATGACACGAAGACCAATCTCGATGAATCATCAGAGACGAGCGACGAACGCGAACGCGCAATGTTTTCCACGAACGACTGTTTATCAGGTACTCGTTACCAGGGAGAACGCGATAATCTCGCGAACCAAGTCGGTGTATGCGAACGATATCTCGATCAGTTGCACGATCGTTTGGTCGACACGGCAAGTATGCGCGTGGCATTTCGCCATCGATTGTTTAACAAACAAGGAGCCGTAAAGCGGCAGCACCGCGTTCACAGCAACTCTGTGACGTGTTCCGACGAGCCACGTACAAATGGATTAATTAAAAAAAAAAACTGGGGAAATGGATAAGCAACTGGTTGCAAAATGACGTGCCTGAGCGAACGAGGCTGTTTATTTGTCGAAGAACTTGCACCATCCCTTTCCTCTTGCCCTTCGAGGCGCGCTTCTGAGAAGTTCGTACGTGTCCCGTAAGCGAGAGAATCTTTTTAACACCGAAACTACTACCCATACTTTTTACCATAAGAATTTTACAGAAGTTTTCGAAATTTACCCGACATTTTGTAGAATTCTGTTCGTGAATTTTTCCCTTTCTCTTTGCGTTTTCATTTCTCTGGCAAAAGTTTCGTACTCTGGTAGTCGACAGTTCTGTCGTTGAGAAGGGAGAAACTATCGACGTGAATCGAAAGATACGGAACCCACCGCCCTTCACCAGCTGTCATAAATTGTCAGTACACGTTCGCGTGCCGAGCTGAAATTTCGAGAAAATTTAAAAGCGCAAAATCGCGCACGATGCGCATCGTGTGGAGAAATATTCAAAGTACAGCGCTTTTTACACAAAAAGTAAACGAATTTTCTACCGAGGTCGTATATTTTTTTACCATATTCTCAAACATGTGAATTCGTGTATAAAAATCCGCGATTTATTCACGATCCTGCTACCAGAACGTCCAACTACGTTAATGCAAAATTCGATTGAATCGATCTTTTTCAAGTTTCAATTTTAAACAGCTGTTTCTTTCTTACACGTTCGACTTCACAACCACCAATTCTATCTTATTCTTTCCATCTTTTCTCTTCCTCGACTGTAACGTATCAATTACTAATAAATAAATAAATATGCGAGAATGTCGACGAACAGTGCTGATGATACAGCGTGAAATACAAAGAACGCGACGATAACGAGAAAAGGTGGGAAACATTCGAGACAAGAGCTTATAACTTGAGAAAATTCTCATCGCGGCGCTCAACTGGTGAAAATGGGAAAAACCTCGGTGAGCTACGGAGGAAGTTAAGCCCGTGACTACGATAACGATATTGGCCTGGTTAATCGCCAAGGGCGCGCGACAACGCGCGTGTTCCCAACGATTAGGGCAGTTAGACGTCCAATTACAGCTATTCGAGCTTTTATTAACGGCACGCGCCCGGTGCATCGCATGGATCGCGCCAACTCGTCCCTTTGTCCCTTTGCCTCATTTTCTATTTCCACGTTCGACTTTTCCAATTTTAAAAAATTTGCTAACTATAGTAGAAAGAACTGAGAGGATTTTCCGAGTCGAGAGCCGAAGAGAGATTAGTAGAGAGGAGTAAATAAAAATCTGCAGTAACCGTACCGAAAGTGTACGTGTTCAACTGTATCGAAACGGCCCGAAACGTGCCCCGATTGATTAACCGCCGATTCGTCTGATTTCAGGAGCTGGTGTTAACCACCGACGGCGACAAAAGATTGAGCCCGCACACGAGTAGGATAGCGGTGAGCAACTGCTCGTCCGTGATCCTGATGAACTCGAGCCTGGCCTCGATGGCGGGACTGCGCGCGGTGGACCTGATCAACGTGGCGAACCTGAGCCTAGTCAGACAGAGCTTCGAGCTGTCGCCGCAGAATACACGGACGCGGATATCGGTGAGGAACTGCAGCATCGACACGATGCCGAGTTTCGTGTTCCGGGGTGACGTGGAGGCGATCATCTTCGAGAACGTGAGGATCGGCCAGCTGAGCGCGTTCTCGTTCGCGAACCTGGTGCACACGGAGAAACTTAGGCTGGAGAACTGTCGGATCGCGAGCATCGAGGCGCAGGCGTTCAAAAAGTTCGACGTCGGTCACTTGCGCGTGATCGGCAGCAGCTTCGGTGACCAGGTGCCCAGCAGGACGATGAACGACATCGAAGTTTACCACACGTTCATGCTGGACGGCGTGCGAATGGGCACAGTGAGAAGTGAGGCTTTCATCGTGAGGAGTCCGCGGACCGTCGCGATACAGAACTGCGTGGTGGAGAGTTTGGAGAGCGAGGCGTTCGACGTGACGGCGAGGGGGCCGGTGATCGTGAAGAACAACACGTTCGGCAGCCTCTCGATAGGCGCTTTCCTCGGGATACGAGCGGACCCCGAGGCGAGAACGGCGACTGCCTCCCTGCCGGCCAACCTACACGACCTTATCTTTAAGAATAACAGCGTGGTGGACTTCGAGGAGGGCTCGATGATGTTCGACCGCGGTAGCTTTCGCCTGGAGCTCGACAGCCTCTTGGTCGACCAGCCGTGCGACTGTCAGATGTTGCCCGTATGGAAGAACAACATTCTCAATTACACGAACGTTTACTCGAGGTTTTACACCAAACAGAACACCGGGCTGCCGCCCACGTTGTCGCCTCAGGACAACACGATCAACGAAACACCGGAGACGTTCCTCTGCTCGGAGGGCGAGGTGAACGGCGTGCCGACGAGCTTCGTCGAGTACGAGACGCGGCATTGCTCGCTCGGTGGATCGATACTGGTCTTCGTCGTGATCATCGCGGGCCTGCTCGCCTTCCTGATACTGCTCATCTGTCTGATCGTCTGGTGCTGCAGGAGGCGTCGCCGGAACAGCAGGAAGAAATGGATCAGCGTGCCGATGAACGCGCCTGACGTCGTGTCGAAGAAGAACGGGGTGATCGGCAGAGAGGCCGCGTCGTCGGCCGCACCGGTCGACAGCCGGATAACGATGGTCGTGCCCGACGGCAGGCTCTACAGGGAGACCGAGTTCCACGTGATCGTCGAGAAGGCCGAACCGTTGACCACCGAGTTGTAACGAGAACCTTCGTACGGCTCGACGACGAGGGCCGTGGCAGCTCGAGTCGAGGAAGAACTCGAGTGGTCCGAGACCTCGAGCCGTTTCCGCGTGTATAAGCTGTGAGCGGGACAAAGGACGAGAGACGTAGTTTGAACCGGTGGCTCGACGACACTGGACAATGTGTGACGAACATGCACGCCGGTTTCTCATGCCGGTCAGTGCCGGTTATACTCGTCGGCGATAACTTGTGTAACGCGCGTACATAGTGATCGTGTTGTAATCACGTTCCAGGACCAGAGCGAAAGCTCCTCTAACGAAACTCTTCTACCGTGATTGTGTACTCGCTTCCTCTGCGAAGGAACGTTCCTCCGAGAAATTTTTCACGTACCATTTTATCGATTAAGCGGCCGTTGCGTTCTTGCGAAACGAAAATAGAACAGGAGACTCGAACTCAAATCTCCCTTGTTTTCAATTTAATCGACTATCCTCCTAGTACAAGGCAGTTCCAGTAAGCTTCCATAACTTACATATCACGAACGAGCGGCGATTATCCAACGCGTTTCAACCCGTCTTCTTTCGTTCTCGTCCGCCTTTGAAGGCAGTCACGTTCCTCTCCACGATAATTAAGAGTTTCTTCTCTCTTTCGCGATCGAGGTCGCGTGCATGGATAATCGGCGCGTCGTTGTTAGTTAAGTTCATCGCGTTAAGTAGCTTCCAAAAGAGAGCCAGAGTGTCGTTTCACGAAGATTGGAACCGAGAGCTTCGATACACGCGCGAGCAAAAGGCACAGAGAAAGAGAGACAGAGAGAGACGAGAGAGACGAGAGGGAAGACGTCAGAAACTGTGAGACGAGAGAAGAAGAAGAGCGGGCGAGGAGAGCGATCGAATGCAACAACGGGAAATCCTAAACTCGTTTACTCGTATAAGAGACACGCGATTGGATCGACCTTTCGTACTTCGTCGCGTTTAAGTTTATCGATAAAAGGATTACGTAGTTTTACGTGGCGCGTCGCACGTCATGCGTTCGGCAACGTTTCCGAGCCGAATCATGTACGCTCTCGAGCAACCAACGACCGACGAAACGTCGAGAAAGATCGTGCTGCGTTCACTCGGAAGAACAGTACCATTCTTATACAGATCATGTCAGTTCGTGCGATCCTCGAAGCGGAGGAAAGAAAAAACATAGAAGGTAGCTGAATATTTGTCAGTTCGACGAGCGAGAACCGAAATTGCTCGCTCCTCCAAACCGAATCGCTGTATCTATCTACTTCGATTCCAATTGCGTTTCTAATCGCAATTATGCTTGTAACACAATAAAAGATATTACCTGACACCCCTTGACAATACAAGATAATGAATCGATATGCAAGTATATTTGAAATTATTATATAAAGCACGGAGAGAACGAGGATAGCGTACGTACGAGGCGAGGATGATCGAGTAATCTAATAATCTACGTCAAACGTTCGTAGACTTAATGAAACGTTGCGCTACGTTGAAACTGAGAAACTTTTCATATTCCGTTTCGAAAAAACGTATCAAACGGAT